CTGTAACTCGTTACAGAAGTTTTTCTACGATATACAAAAGCTGCGAAACGATAACGAAACTGTCGTTAACTCTAATAACGAGTTACAGAAATCCCAGCACTGGTATTCTTTATTCAATGGTTTCAGCGGCGTTTCTCGCACCTTTTCTTCCTTTGCCGCCGGTAATGACACACCTGTTTGACAGAGAGACGGCGGAGAGACGCCGGTCTTGCGTAACGCTAATGACACAACGCGGGAACACGCGCGCGTGTATCATTCTTCGGGCCTGCTCTAGAAGTGATCGCAAGAATTCGAGCGTGCACGGCAAATGCTAACAAGCCGCGAGCGCGAGAAACGGTCGTTCCGTTGTATCGAGAACCTCCGATTCGTCTGGATCCTCTCAGCTGAAGCTGAGCGCTTCGATCACCGCTGCTTTTTCCCCTCTTTACATCACTGTGATCACTTTACTCACATACTGTGATTTGAAAGCGATAATTCATACGCGAAAATCCAAGTTACACACTGAGAAAAGAATACTTGGGTGTTATGTAATATAAAGAAAAAAGAATCACAAAAATAACGCTTATTTCTGTGAAACCAAAACTCTTAATTACAAATAAATGTTCCGGTATTTTTTTCTCGGCGTACTTCGCGACAGAAGACATGAGAATCTGAGATGTCAAAGTGAGAGAAAACGGGTTTACATAAATTTCCGAGGATCCTCTGCGTTCGACGCGTTTCACCCGAACGTCTTGAGGAAAGGATACTTGAAAATTTATTTGCGATGAATATAGTTTTATTCATAAAAGAGAGAGAGAGAGAGAGAGAGAGAGAAATAAACTTTATTTCACAGAAATAAAATCTATATCCTACAAATAAATTTTCAAGAGGTTTCTTTTTTTTAGTGCATGTTTCTTAGCGACGACGTGTTCCTCGGTTCAAATCTTTTTGCTAATGATTTGGATTACTTACTTGAGAACGGCGAAGTTTGTGTCCTCATGGAGTATTTCTCAATGAACGCGACCATCTCTGAGTTTTGCACTTTGAATTAATAGATGTGATCCTTATACTAAAGTAGGAAATCTCAGAATCCTGCGCCTCTCTCTGCCTCTCTCTCTCTCTCTCTCTTTCTCTCTCTCTTCCATGCGCAAACCCCTCAATCGTAGATCACTCGTAGATCGTAAATCACTCGCCCAGATCGGTCGTAGCGTTCTCTTCACAGCCTTCAGCACCCATCCTCGCGTTTCGCCGAGGTGCTCCTGTTAGCCCCGTAACACATCATTGCCCGCTGCAGCCTCTCCAGGTACTCCCGGAGTGCGTCTTCCTGTGCAAAGTCGCGGGCGTCCGCCCTCGCGATGGAGCGTTTCTGCACGAGGGCGGAAAGCATGAGCGTCACCACCGGCAGGGTCATGCCTAGGAGGAAGGTCGGCGTCATAAGATTCTTCAAACCGTGCTGGGTGAAGCCGCGGTAGAGCTCCGACCAGATGCCGCCGTCCGGGTCCTCCTTGCGCTTGCCGAGCTTGCCGTACAGATGCGGCCGTATCTTGCCGGTCGCGGCGATGTAGTTGTAGTAGTGCGGGTCATAGGACTGCGTGTACAGCTGAGAATAGTAGACGTCCTTCGAGGGCGGCGGATAATCGGAGTCGGGGAACCAACCGCCAGCGTCCTCAAAGGACGGGTTGCCGATCATGTTCGCCGGTCCTCGATGGAAACCCGGTGGTTTCGTGTAGATCACCTCCACCGGCGCCTGGGCCTTGAAGGGTACTGAAGGAAGAAGCGGAAGAAAGAGTCACACAGGTGGACAGAACATGAGAAAGTCAAATTATTAATTAGGTGTAATGCAATAAGAAAATAAAATACTTGAAAACTTATTTGTGGGAGAAATAAAAGTTTACTTCACAGAGAGATAAACATTCAAGATGAATGTTCCAGTAATCGAATCTTATATTATGAGAGGAGATTGCAAGAGTATTTAGATAATGAGAATGATATTGTAAAGTCAATTGGTCATTGGGATATTTATCTTGTATCCCACAAATAAATGTTCATATATTTTTAGTCCATTCGATCGCGACTTATTGCGTTTCTGCAAAGCAAACGTGTCTCGATGTCTACTCCAGTCGAAGAGGAGGAAGGGAAGGAAAGAATCACGACGCGTGAGCTGTCGCTTGTTTCGAAAGAAATATTCCTCGAGGAAAGAATTTGCCGTGCGATTAATTCGTTACGCGCGACAGCCAGTTTCCGACGATCACTGAGTTATGTATTAGCGCGCGGCGGATCGTAAAAAAGGCATTTACAATCGGTAATCTGTAAATATGTATGTTCAGTTGTTAGCGGCAGATTTAGCTAAACGTGATCGATGGAGTCGCGACTTCGTGTACCAGCAAAAAGACAAAATGAAAGGACCGCCGGCAGAGAGCAAGATTTTTTAGCTGCGACACGGTCTCTCAAGCAGAAAATTACCGTGAAAGATATGCGAAGATATGACAATAAACTGCGTTAAAGGGATGCTGAAGATTTTATCGACAGTATGCTAACATTTCTCCGCAGAGTTTACGTCGTATTGGTTGTACAGAATGCTTTTCTTATCACAAAGTATCAAGGGGATGAAATTAGAGGGGAGAGGATCCAAGTAGTCTACATTTCATGTAATCTACATTTTCCGCAAGATCCTGGAGAGTATGCAAGATTTGGTTTAGATTGGCTAAAAGATTTAGAAGTTGAAGCATCAAATCACATACAGCTGATTTTCTGTCAAAACGATTTCTCGTATTTATTTATTGCGTTTTACGCAATGAAAGCACGTGCAAAAATAAATAGAAGCATTGTTCGATATGTGACGGAAAAGACTCACCCGTGACAGGTCCTTTGTACAACCCGGGCGCGATCCTGGCCTGCGGGAGGACGCCCGGCAACGGCTTCGCGCGTAACCTCTTCATCCTCTGCCGCCACATCGCCGGCATCATCATGTCGTTCCTCACCTGCACGCCAGGCCCGATCGGCACCGGCTGCAGCATCGTCGCCGGACCCAGGACACCCGCTGGAGCCCTGACTATCGGTTGCATCACTGTCTGGGCGACCGGTTGCGCCGCGTAAGCGAAACTCTGGCCGGTCGACAGTTGCTGCCGTTGCTGGTCGATCTGTTGCGGCATCAGCTGCGATATCAGCTGACCCTGGTCCATCTGCGGCGTCAGATGAAGGTGAATCGTGTGCTCTGCCTGGGGCAGCGACGGCTGTTGTCGTTGTTCCACTTGAGAGAGCAGCGGTTGCCGTTGCTCCACTCGGTGGATGATCGGCTGAGTGTCCATTCGCTCGAGTATCTTATCCTGGTCGATCACGGTGACGTCGGACGAGCGGGACTGGGCCTCTGGTGATTGTTGGCTGCGCAGGAAATAGTCGAGCGACACACGAGACTCCTCGGGTGTCTTGGAGTTCAGGAAGGTGTTGAGCGCGAACTCCGCCGAATCGATCGGCGAGTTCTGGTCGGCGGAGATCTGCAACTGTCGCGAGGATACGTCCTGCGAGCGTGGGCTGTGGACCGAGAGCACATGTTGCGATTTGTCGGAGAACAGATCGTCCATGGTCTTGGTCGGTTCTCGAGGACTCTCAGGATTCTCGAAGACCGGATAGAGCCTCTGAGGACGCGACACCGCCGAGTTCGACAAGAGGTCGATGGAGATGTCCTTTTCTCTGACGCTCTTTTCCGAGAGGTTGCTCTCCTCGGCGGTGTAATCGGTATACTCGGTGAGCGGGTTTCCCTCGAAGTTGAGTTGGCCGTTCGCCAAGCCGACCGCGAGGAAGAGGAGGCTTGCGAGCCCGATCATGATTCTGCGAAGAGGAAGAGGACTTAGTTTCATGATCGATCGACTCTGTAGATGTGAGAAATATTACAATCATCGCGCATTTGAAGGGTAGTTCGCAACGGGATGTTGCTTTACCCCGAGGAAATTTATTTTTTTGTTATTAATCTATTTTTATTCGTTACTAGCTTAAAATATCCGGGCCTCTTATATCATCTAAACTTAAATTATCACAAAGTGTCAAGGGGATGAAATTAGAGGGAGAGGGTCCAAGTTTCATGTAGTCTACATTTTTCGCAAGATTTGATTTAGATTGGTTAAAAGATTTAGGAGTTAAGGCATCGAGTTACACACTGATTTTCTGTCAAAACGATTTCTCGTATTTATCTTGCGGTTATTTAAGAATTATTTCGGCAAAAGAAATAATAATAATTTCGGCTGTCCGGAGCATTTTGCAAGTGTGCAAAATAGATGTCATTTGAATGATATATCTTTTTATTAAACGTGGTTTGCAGAAATTTCGAGCATGGTTTCCTTCGTTTCTGACGTCACCAACCGAACCGCGGTGACTTAAGAGGCTACAGGAGTTTTAATAAGAAATATATGGAGATATTTTATTTCATACACACACACATATATACGAAAAGAGGACGTTTTCAGAATTTTTATTCTGGCATTTTATTGACTTTAAAGACTAATTAATTCTAGAACTTTTCCCTGCCTGATCGTTGTAATTGGTAAAAATATGACGGATATTGTCACAGTGAATATTTTATACAAGAAGAAGGGAGAAAAGTAATTTGCTGGCCCAGTAAATTTTCTGCTGGTCTAGCAAAATCTTTTTGTTATTAGCTAAGAGTATTAATCACTAC